CCATATAGCATGTTTGCCCTTGTGCGAATCTAATAAATTCGTTAACTCCATTTTCGAACTCTTTTTTCAATCCTCTACCATTTTCCTTGTAGCGGTCATACATCCAACTTCTAGTTTGTCTATACATTGTGCCTGAATATTTAAAAAAATATCTTAATGATTTTTTTGAAAGTATATCTTAACGAAATTAATTTATTAAATTTACAAATTAACGTCTCACATTGTATCAATATAATTAAGACAAATACTACTCATAACAACTCGTAATATGAATATGATCAAATTAATTTAAAAACAGAATGGTCGAAATTTACATACCTTAAGTACAACGACGATACCAAGTAATACGAGTATAGAGTAAGAAATCCAAATAGAAACCTCCGGATATCAAGTAATATTACTTCCAACTTCTATCCAGAAATTATCATACACAAATATTAAAGAGATCATTTTGAGAGATGTAGTATGTTTCACACACCATACATGTATTTGTAGAATTAGTAGGCACGGATTTTGGGACGGAAATACCCCAGCCGAAACGTACAAACGGCCTTCATTGTCTAGGATATTGGCACGGAAAAACATTAAGGCAGAACGTGGGATTGGCAAATTAACGGTTATATTTTGACACGGAAATTGGGTCCGATATCCGCCAGCCAAACGTAACGGCTACATTTTGGCACGGATATAAGGACAGAAAGGGGCGATCTGAATTTGATGCGGCGTTGGCGCGGATGTAGGCACGGAAACTTTTGGCACAGAATAGATCCGCGCCAACCTAAAAAGAAAAATCGTCACCATTTGGGTTGGACATAGTTCCCTGCCAAACTGTCTCGGAAATTGCGAAGGATATGTCCACAAGCCAACAGATTTGAAGTTTTTTCGGTCTTGGCACGGAAGTAGGCTCGGAAATTCCGAGACAACCTAGGTGGCACGGATTTATCCGTGCCAGAGGCGTAAAAAACCGACATTTTTGGCTTTCCGGGCCAATATCCGAGCCAAAATTGTCTAGGATATATTCCGTGCCTAAATCCGTGGCTATTACGAGTTTTTTTGGTAGTGATAACAAGTTAAATGCTATCCTTCGTATCCCATTAATTGCAACATTGGAATATATACACTATTCATATACTTTACTTTGGCTACATTTTATTTATTGATGTATGTGAATTATTTTATTTTAAAAATATTGTTAAGTTCGTCTCATTACTAAGTTTTATAATCTGATCTTTATTTTATTTTTGCTAATACATAATTAAATATAATGACGGTCAAAGTTGTGCATTGACAAACGTGAAATGTGTACTATTGCAACTAAAAAGAGACGGAAGAAGTATATATTTACAATTTTTTCATTCAAAGGAAAAAGGGAATACAAATAGCTTTCAAATGTGAAAAATCTTTAGTGGGTGTCTAAAAAAGATCATAAAACCGTTCAATTTCATTCATTTGAACCTTAATGTCCATTTAACCGTATTGTCCAATTTGATCCATAAGAAACATTAGTGTCCAATATGAGATTCACTTATAACCGTAATGTCCAATTCACAAAAATACTTTTCAAAATAAAAGTAAAGCATTAATAAAAATGGAAAAAATATTTAATACAATTTTCCTACTTTTGCCATCAAATACTACACTCCGTTCTTGAAATTAAATTTAAACTTCAATATTATTTACATTACTGCAGACACTTCTTTCGTTGAAAATTATTGAAATTTAGTCTTCTTAATCTCTTATATGTGTCCATCTCAGTGCAATAAGAAAAAATGGATGCGTCAGAAGCACGACGCAAAAGAAAAACCATTCTGCAGGAAAAAAAGACATCTAGGCTGAGAAATGAAGAGCAACATAAAGGTATAAAGAGAAATTTATATTCTCATTGAATACTTTTTCATATCTTTCTCTTTTCATTTTGTTTCAATGCAGAAGCAAGTGGTGTTACAAGGGGATCCATAAGTAGTAACACATTACTGGACTACGCAAGCTCTTCCCTCATTAGAAGGTAAATCATTAATCAATTATCATCAATACAGAGGCATTTAAATATTTTAATACTATGATGGCTAATTGTTCATAACATAAATACTCAAAACATTACAAGGAACGAGGCAGCAAGATCACGTCTCAAAAGGAGATATATTCTAGATAACAAACGGAGAGGTAAATTCATAAACATGACTCAAATCACATGCAAAAGTCCTACTTTGAACTATCTGCCAATAATATATATTACAATGTTGCATATCATTTACATTTTAATCATTTTAACTTTTAAGGTTTCCTTACAAACAACGGTATCCAAGAGTCTTCCCGAGATGTAGATACCAAAGGCAAAAGAATTGTAGGAACACCAAATGAAAACATCCTACTCAGTAGTGCTACAAGTAAAGCATCATTACACATCTTTATCATAAAATTTATTTTATTTAACGATATCATATGACAATTTATGGCTTACTATTTTTTAACTTTACAGTTGCGTACTCCAATAGTCCTCTCCTGCACTGTAACACTCCGGCCTCGCAGGACCTGAGGTAGCTACTCTAGATCAATAGTACTGTCCTCACAAACCACCACGAGCCTTTACCGCACACTTTGTCCTCACTCATGCGCGCCCTGAGAAACTTCCCAGGGGATCACCCATCCCAAGACTACTCTCGTGCAAGCACGCTTAACTTTGGAGTTCTTGGGTGATGAGCTCCCTTAAAAGGAGATGCATCTCTGTTGGTATGAGTAGTACTATTAATCCATTTAAATTAAATTTCAAGTATTACAATCACCTCCACTTAGGAATGCAACGTCCTCGTTGCGCCCAAACACCAATCTCAATCATATCCCAGAATCTTTTCCCCTACTAAGTGCCCGCCCGATATCCAACGGATCAGCACACTGTCGCAGGGTTGCTCTGATACCATTTGTAACACCCCGGCCTCGCAGGACCTGAGGTAGCTACTCTAGACCAATAGTACTGTCCTCACAAACCACCACGAGCCTTTACCGCACACTTTGTCCTCACTCATGCGCGCCCTGAGAAACTTCCCAGGGGATCACCCATCCCAAGACTACTCTCGTGCAAGCACGCTTAACTTTGGAGTTCTTGGGTGATGAGCTCCCTTAAAAGGAGATGCATCTCTGTTGGTATGAGTAGTACTATTAATCCATTTAAATTAAATTTCAAGTATTACATGCACACAAGTGTGGATGCCCACACATTGGCCAGTTCAACAACCAATTATCATCCACTCTCTAACATCACAAATTTCATTTTAAATGGGAGGTACTTCATAACACAAATACACAACTTCTAAGACTTAGGGAATATTAACTAATCACTTTTTTGTTAATCTTACATTTCACAGTGTGAACAACCAATTCATTGAATGGGATGCGGCAAAAGAAGCACGTTCTAAAAGAAGATCTTTCTTACAAGAGAAGCATGTATGCCAATTTCTACGTGGGTGTCAACATAAAGGCATACGCAATCAACTGCCAAATACTAGTATTATATTTGATAGTGTATGGTGTGGAACTCAAATAACATAAATACATTTATATCATATAAAAACTAATTATATGGATTCCAACATATAATAATACCAATGTATACTTTTGAACACATGTTTGTATATGATTATAAACTGGGAATATTTTGGAAATACTACTTTTCATATATCAAACAAGATCCAGCCGTAAATATTATAAAAAACTCTTTTTAAATTGTACTCCCTCCGTCCCAAATTGTAAGATACTTTACAGTTTACGATGTTTGACCGACGATAAAGCAAATTGATCTCTGTCAACACTCAAATTAGTTTTAGAAAATAAAATTTACATATTCAGAAACTACATTAAAACCGCTACAAAACCTGCAAAAAATAATTCAAATTTCATAAACTTTTGATATATAAAGTAAAAGATTAAGAGTGATTTATGTTGACCAAGTGAATAGTAAATGTATCTTACAATTTGGGGCTGAGGGAGTATATCTTTATACATGTTAATCATATTTATTAATTTTTAAATATTTTTAGCTTTTGATACAACATGGACTCTTCGAGATCATCATTCTGATACAAATGTTGATGCGAATGAAGTAACCGGCACCACGATAAATTTAATCTCAAGTGGTCAGTACATCAACACACAATTAAGTGCGATTCAAGATCAATCAAAAAAAAAAGAGCCATTCATGCTGATTCTATAGGTGTGAATCTGATGACCAAATTCTCAGAGGAGGCTCTAATTTTTGACAATGAACTCGATGTGCATAATCCTTGCAATGCAACTCCTTCATCATCACGCCAAGGCACACTTTATACAAACCAAAACTATGTTCTAAATTCAAGTCATAGTGTGAGCATATGTGAAACATATGGCCCACAAGGAAGTGAACAAGTTCATTCTGATAGTGATGTTGATCAATTTGAAGGTAAATGATAACTTATTATCAATATAAATAAAACCACAATGATTGTATATGCACAATGAACCTTCTTTTCAAACAGGTTTAGCTCCCGATGATGACACGAGTTCAGACGAGGAGTCACCAGTTACTCATGAAAACACTACAGAATTTGATTTCACTAAAGGTAACAATAATTAAATAATTCAGTGCAATTTAAATCATATTAATCACTGTGTATTCCTTATGATAAATTTTTATTCATTTCTAGGATACTTTGATATTGGAGATCCCCTTATTGAGTGCGACAAATGCCAGGCATACATGTGGTATCAAGAAAGATCAAATAAATATAAAGACACCACGCTACCTAAGTTTAATCTTTGTTGTGGGAGGGGAAAAGTTCAATTGCCACTACTCAAGGACCCACTTGTGCTTCTTCAGCATCTTTTATTTGACAATGATGTTGATAGCAAAAACTATCAACAACATATTAGAGCGTATAATATGATGTTTGCATTCACATCGCCTGGTGCTAAAATTGACAAGTCAGTTAAAGATGGTCGAGGCCCGCCTACGTTCAAAATACAGGGCCAAACATGCCATCGAGTGGGAAGCATGTTACCTATGCCAGGTCAACCTCCAAAGTTTGCCCAATTATACATATATGATACTGAGCATGAGATACAAAATAGGATTCGAGGAATAAGGTTAGCATGTGCATTAATTTTATCATGGAACACTAAATAAAAATTTATTAAATTATTATTTCTAATTATATGTTATTATGCAATTGTAGAAACCCAAATGACATAGATGATCAGATTGTGGGCAAATTATCAGCCATGCTACATGAATACAATGTGCATGCAAAATCCTTTAGAATGGCTAAGGAAAGATTGCAAGATGCACCTGTGCAGGATCTGCGGTTAAAGTTGATTTCTGACAGAGTTAGTGATGGCCGATTATATAACTTGCCTACGGTTTCAGAAGTTGCTGCTCTTATTGTTGGAGATGTTAACACTTCATCAAAAAGAGATATTATAATGGAGACCCGAAGTCGTACACTTCAGCGAATAAGTGAGCTGCATACTAGCTATTTGAGTTATCAGTATCCCCTTTTATTTCCTTATGGAGAGGATGGATACAGGCATGACGTGCTTCATAGAGATACAGGTAATTCTAATAGTTCTAAAAGAAACCACCTTACCATAAGAGAGTGGCTTTGTTTTAGGCTACAAACAAGGAAAAATGAGGCGCTAACATTGTTGAGATCAAGAAGATTATTTCAGCAGTTCGTAGTTGATGGCTATACTATGCTTGAGTCAGAGAGGTTATCTTTTATCAGGAGAAACCAAAAAAAGCTAAGAGTTGATAAATACAGTAACCTCAGTCAAACAAATCACAGCTTACAATGTCCAGGATCTGAAGAGGGGAAAAGAATTGTACTACCATCGACATTTGTAGGAAGTCATCGCTACATGGATCAACTCTACTTTGATGGTATGGCAATTTGTGCTTTTGTTGGCTTTCCTGATTTCTTTATCACGTTCACTTGCAATCCCAACTGGCCTGAGATTCAGAGAGTACTTGCACCATTAAACTTGAAGCCACATGACCGTCCTGATATTGTTGCAAGGGTCTTCAGGATAAAGTTTGAAGAGTTATTAACAGATTTAAGGAAAAGGCATATCTTCGGAAAAGTTCTTGCATGTAAGTTTTATATATGAATATATTACATATTTCTTATTTACACTACACATTTACTGGTGCAATTCATTTATTCTATTTTTTTCTGCAAATTTCTTTCAGATATGCACACAATTGAGTTCCAAAAAAGAGGATTGCCCCATGGGCACATACTCATTTTTTTGCATCCTTCGAACAAGTACCCAACTGCCGATGATATTGATAAGATTATTTCAGCAGAGATACCTGATGAAGAGACCGAGAAAGAATTGTACAACCTGGTCAAATCTCACATGATTCATGGTCCATGCGGTTTAGCGAACCCTTCATCACCGTGCATGCAGGATGGGAAGTGCAACAAGTATTATCCTAAGCAATTCCAGGCAAGTTGGGTTTAGATTGGTTAGCTCAGTTTAAGTGTGATTTGATTTTGTTTATTTAGGTTTCTTCTGATTTAATCTGGACAAATGAAGTATATGGTGTTATATGATTTTATTTGCTATCGAAGTCTTGGCAGGAGTGGCTTGCTTTATTTGGTTTATTATGATATGTTTAAGTCCAATCTGATCAGGTCTAAATCACTTAAGTCTGATATAGAAATACATATAATACAAACATCCTAATTGTAATAATTAAACTAAATCTATAAATATACATAGCCACTATTTTACTAGAGTTACTAACAATAAATTTTAATATTTTTTATGTACTCAATTATTTAGAATATTATCATTTAGATCGTAAGAAACATGTTAATTAAATTCTATCGTCCTAATAGTCTCATACATTTGCTAATGAATGATAAAAAAATTAAACTAAAATATTACGAAGAAATAGTTAATATATGAGTATCCTATTAACTATTTATATTAAAAATAAATGTGACATTTTTATATAGGGGATATAATATTCATTTTAAGTACGGAGGTCTAGCCTCATCGAAAGTAAATCAAGACTCATACATAGTCACACTTTAGAGTAATACTACAAATTAACACCGATTTTGAATTTTAACAACAAGTGCAATTCATACAAAATAAAGAAACAACACCACCTTTTTTCATTATTATCTATTAAACTTACTCCACCAAAGTCGTACATGACATTAGCAGTGCAAAGAGATATTAAGTTAAGATAATTGTCATCACTTTTAATTAGAAATATATAATATTTACAATTTTTCAGGCATCAACGACGCTTGACGAAGATGGTTATCCTATTTATAGGCGAAGAGCCGATGGAAAGAAAACCGAAAAAATGATTGTATCTTAGAAAATCGTCATGTTGTGCCTTATAATCCAAAATTGTTGTTAAAGTACCAAGCGCATATCAACATGGAATGGTGTAATCAAAGCACTTCAATAAAATACTTATTCAAGTATATCAACAAAGGATATGACCGGATAACAGCAGTTATTGTTCCAGCACACAATGATGGGTCACCCCAAAATGAGAATATTGATGAGATCAAGCAATATCTTGATTGCAGGTATGTCTCACCATGTGAGGCCTGTTGGAGGATTTTTTCTTTTCCGATTCATGGTAGATCTCCAGCCGTTAAAAGACTTTTCTTTCACCTTCCCAATGAGCAATCTGTGTTCTTTAGTGACAACGATGACCTTGAGTCTGTGCTCACAAGAAAAACTGTTAAAGAATCAATGTTTACATCTTGGATGCAAGCAAACAAAATCTATCCGGAAGGAAAAGATTTGACATATGCAAAGTTCGTTTCACGATTTGTGTATGTAGCTAGCAAGAGGTGTTGGAAGCCAAGAACAAAGGGTTACACTATTGGTAGACTCATCTCGGTACCTCCAACAACAGGTGAACTATTCTACTTAAGAATGATGCTCACTGTAACAAAAGGGCCACGTTGTTATGAGGATATTAGGACCGTTGCCAACATTCAATATCCGAGCTTTAGAGAAGCGTGTTTTGCGGCGGGATTGCTTGGTGATGATAAAGAATACATTGGAGCATTAAAAGAAGTTAAAGACTGGACATCAGGACACTACTTGAGAAAATTATTTGTAACTCTGCTATTATCATGCCCTGTGAGCAGACCCGAGCATGTATGGGAACAAACTTGGCAGTGGTTGGCAGATGAAATTTTGTATCAACAGCGAAGGCTCTCAAACATCCCAGGTATACAAATCAATTAAAAATTAGATTTACACCTATCATTTGTATCATGACAAGTTATTCATGGCGTTTACCCTACCAACAAAATTATAAGATTTGTCATAAAAAGTATTACCCTAAATTCAATTCACCTTATATTAGAATTCACATAGAGTACATATGATTAGTTTACCGGATCTTTCTTATCCTTTTTAGATTTTCACTAAATATATAATTAAAAATATTACTAAATGATGAAATTAAATATTTACTAATACTATAAATAAACATTATTTTCTATTTACCCCAAACAACTTTTCTTACCTTAAGTATTAAAATTACATCACGTATCAAGTAACATATAAAAATAAAATATATTTTTAAAGTAATACATTGATATTTTTTATTTCATAAATCAACATAATCAAATAAAACTATATCATAATTTTAATTTTGTGCATATCTCATTTGTCATTCATTTGCATTGTAGTAAAAGATGAAATTAATTACTTCTTATTACCATAAACAAACAGTATTTCTGATTACCCCAAACAACTTTTCATACATTCAGTATTAAAATTAGTTGACATATCAATTAACATATAAAAATAAAGTATATTTTTATATCAATATATTGAAATTTATTATTTCATAAATTAACATATTCAAATAAAACTATTTCATAATTTTAATTTCATGCGTATCTCATTGGTCATTCATTTGCATTGATGTGACAAAATAAATTATTTACGATAAAGACATAATGGCAGTGGACACATACATATGAACATCTTCTTATAATTACTGATATAATTGTGTTTATTACATTTATAGATTTACAACTTAGTGATCAAGAGTTGCAAAATTTAACTCTTGTGGAGCTTGAGAAATTGATGCAAAAAAAAAGAGAAAAAGTCTAAAAGACTTTCCCTCAATACCATATCCAAATGGATATATCACGGAACAACTAGGAAATAGGCTTATATATGCAGAACGTGATTATGATACATCCAAGTTGCGTGAGGAGTTTCAAAGTTTGTATGCTTCTCTTACCGGTAAGACAACTACAAATAATATGATTTATAAGTCATATTAAATGGTTTTGAGTGTCAAGAGAAAATGATTTCATTCATACATTTTGATGCTAATATTGCAGATGAACAAAAAGCCATATTTGACACAATAATGGAAGCTGTGATTAACCAAAAAGGCGGTGTATACTTTTTATATGGTTATGGTGGTACAGGAAAAACATTTATGTGGAGGACACTAGCTTCTGCCTTACGTTCTCAACGTCATATCGTTTTAACTGTCGCATCCAGTGGTATAGCTTCTCTACTCTTACCTGGAGGCAGCACTGCACACTCTAAGTTTTCAATCCCAGTTCCTACTTTGGAGAACTCTACATGCAATATACATCAAGGGAGTGAACTTGCAGAGCTATTGAAACAGACTAAATTGATAATATGGGATGAAGCAACAATGGCTCATAAATTTTGTTTTGAAGGATTAGACAGAAGCCTAAGTGACATCATTAATAATGATGGTGATTCTAATTCACCATTTGGAGGAAGAGTGATTGTCTTTGGAGAAATGGTGCCAAATAGGACCTTATCTTTCCTTATATACTTAAATAGGAGCTTGACTTTTTTAACTCTTAAATAAAACCTGATTTTTTCCGTGTTCCAGGTTTACCCCTAAATCTATTGCGTCTTATTCCCTTTCTCTTCTCTGTCGACAAAAGCAATCATACTTCTTTTTCATAGGCGACCGCGACTCCCTGGCGGAACAACAGAGGTGTGGCGCAAAAGATGAATAAGATGAGTCAGTTACGCGGTGATGGTTGTACGGCATCAGCGTCGGTGGACGGCGGCGGCGTCGGCGTCGGTGGACGGCGGCAGATATCCCTTCTTCTTCTTCTCCTCCTCCTCCTCCTCCTCCTTCTCCTCCTTCTTCTTATTCTCTTCTTCTTATATTGTCGAAGATGCAGGTTACCGCCGGCAAAGGTGTCACCGATCAAATCTGTTTCTTCTTCTTCTTCTTCTTCTTCTTCTTTTTCATCTCTTTTCTCCTCCGTGTCTCCTTCTTCCCTTTTCTTTATTTCTTCGTAGCTGGTTCGCTGGCCGCTGCTCATTGATCTCTTTCTTTAGATCTGATTTCTTCCGTCTCTTTTTCATTTGCTTTTTCGATTCCTTCATATAGTTGGTTTCTAATGTTTCTGTCTTATTCTAATTTCCTATTTGGCTATTTCAATTTGTATCGTAAGTGCTTTTTTGTTACATACATTAAGTGCTGCCCAGTATGTTTTTTGAGAGAGAAGAAAAGTGCTGGCTTTAATTTATCAATGTAATTGGAGATTGTTGATATTGATACTAATACATTATTGTTGATAAATGATTTTAATAAAGTGATTGTTATAGTGATTGACATTCTTATGACATTGTTATTGACATTTTTATGACATTGTCATTGACATTCTTATGACATTGTTATTGACATTTTTATGACATTGTCATTGACATTCTTATGACATTCTTATGACATTCTTATGACATTCTTATGCCATTCTTATGCCATTGTCATTGACATTGTTTTCTATTGACATTTTTATGACATTGTCATTGACATTCTTTTGACATTGTCATTGACATTCTTATGACATCTTCATTGACATTCTTATGACATTGTCACTGATACTCATCGATGAAAATTTTGTTTGTCAATATAAATAGTGAAATAATTTCTAAATGTTAATTTAAATATAATTCAAAAAAAACTTGAATAGATGAATTTGCAAAATCCAAAAAAAAAACACAATACTACGTACTTCCTAAGTAGGAAGTTGAAAGGCAAAAAAAAAAGATTTGAAAAGTCAAATCAAACAACTACAACAAAATTTTTGAAGGCTTCCTCACAAAAAAAAACGCAAAAGAATTCAGTAAAATCTGGGAAGAGGGGATCGAAGACTTGCGCCGAGCACAAAATTAGAAAATGGAAGAAGAAAGAAGAAGATCAGGAGGAATCTCGCACTGATGACCACTCCAGCGCTCACCAGAAACAGAGCAATAGCGATTGTAACAGTCGTGACCTGCGACTCCAGCGACCACTCCGGAGATGACTTACGATAGAGCGGCAGAGAATTGTGAATCCTATGAGGCACGATGTTCCTCTCCTGGAAGATGAGAGGCATGAGTGGGCAAATAGTGGGAGCTCCAGATTGTACGGAGTGGGCTGAAGGAGAGGGCTGGGGTGACGTTTGAAGAGCAGGGGTATAATTGTCTAGCCGTTCAAATTTAGTCATATTTAGGGTTTAAAAAGTCTGAAGTCCTATTTACCTTCCCAGCCTTTGTTTTAGTCTTATTAATGTCTTTTTCCCTTGTCTTTGGAGGAGACTTTAGACAAACTTCACCCGTTATTCCTGGAGGAAGCTGTTCAGACATCGTTAATGCTAAAATAAATTCTTCATATCTATGGGAAGATTGTCAGGTATTAAACTCACTTTTTAGTATCATAACCAATATGTTTAATTTTGAGATACTTTAGAAAACACTAATTATCACTTTAGAAGTTTTTTCTTGGAATAATTACTTTATAAGTTATGATAATCAAATATAAGTATTTTTTGTTTATTCATAGGTATTGTCTCTTACTAAAAATATGCGACTCCAAAATAGTTTGGATATGACAAGTGCTACTGAGCTCAAAGAATTTTCAAAATGGATATTGGATGTGGGGGATGGAAAATATCAGAGCCAAATGATGGTTATGCAGAAATAAAAATTCCAGATGAATTCTTGATTAAAGAATTTGATGATCCAATAGATGCAATAATCCGAAGCATATATCCTAACTTGCTGGAGCAATACAAAAATGAGGAATTCCTCAAGTGTAGAGCTATCTTAGCATCGACTATTGAAATTGTCGATAAAATTAACGACTATGTTCTTTCCTTGCTCCCAGGTAATATTATACAAATGCTACTTTGCTTATTTACTGACACAATAAAATCTTAAGCAAATTTAATATTAAAATTACGTCCATTGAAATTTTATAACTACAGGTGAAGACAAAGAATATTTAAGTTGCGATTATGTAGACAAATCAGATGTAGTCGAAGCAGAAGCATTTGAAGCGTTGACACCAGAGTTTCTAAATTCCTTGAGGACATCAGGTCTCCCAAATCATAGGATACGACTTAAGGTTGGGACTCCAGTAATGTTGTTAAGAAATATAGACCAGTCAGAAGGACTATGTAATGGAACTAGATTGATTGTCACCAGACTGGGAAATCATGTCATTGGAGCAAGAATCATGTCTGAAAGCTATGGTGGAGATGAGATTTACATACCTCGAATGTGTATGTCTCCTTCTCAATCACCAAGGCCTTTTAAACTTATCAGAAGACAATTTCCTATAATGATCTCATATGCAATGACAATCAATAAATCTCAAGGACAGTCACCGCAAAGAGTTGGATTATACCTGCCTAGACCTGTTTTTAGTCATGGACAATTGTATGTGGCATTATCCAGAGTTCAGAGCAAGCATGGATTGAAAATTTTAATACATGATAAGGATGGAAAATCATTAGACACTACTATGAATGTTGTGTTCAAAGAGGTTTTCCAAAATCTCTAACATGTAAGTTTAATATTTAACTTTTATTATTTATTTTATTAACTTAATTTAACTTTATGGTATTGACTTATTGTACTCGCTTTTAAGAATTATCCCAATTTTTTAAAATTAATTTGCTTTTCTAATTAATTAGATCATGATTACAAGTGTATCCATCGATTATTTCCCGTGCGTATGCACGGGTACTGAACTAGTTTCAAAAAAAAAAAAAGACACCCATCCCTCGGGGTCCGGGACGTTGGGTGGGAGAAGAATGTAAATTGGACTATAATTCTAATCTGACAGATACAGAGTGGAGCTCTATCCTCTATAGTTGCAGATGCCCTAGCATTTAGTCACCTTTCATCGCAGTTGCCGGATTAGAACTCGGGACCTTACCCTTGTGTCACTCCCTCGCTACCAGTTGGGCTACGCCCACCTGTATGTTTTTTTCCAAATTAATACTACCTCCCTCCGATTTTATGTCTCATTTGTGTTTGGCACAATTATTAATCAAATGATTGAAAAAGGTAAAAGTTGTAGTTGGGATTTGAGTTTAATAAAGTGAAATATTGTGGAACACATATTTCTTTTCAAAAAGGGAAATGTGACACTTATTTTAGGACAATTCAAAAGGGAAAATAAAACATGTAAAATGAGACGGAAGGAGTATTTCATAATACAAGAAAAATTGAGATGGAGGCAATGTTCTAAAAGGCGTAAGGCGTGCCGAGGCGGCACGACCAAGTGTTAAGCCTTTGGAGCCTAGGCGGGCTTAGGCGGGGCTTAGGCGTGAAAAGGCATTTTGATTTTTTATCATTTATTTTAATTTTCATTGATCTATTTTAAGTATTTAAATTTAATATTAAATAATGTTATTCAAAAACAAAGATTTGTGGAATCCTAAATCTAGCAAATATAGAGTATAAATTTACTAATTACAGAAAAACTAGAACTGGAAAAAGTAGTTTAATGATAAAATATTTATATTTGTAAAAATGTGACTTAGTAACATTTAGTTATTAAATTTATATTCAAACTTAACATTGTAGTGAATTTAAAAAAAAAATTTACAATCACTTTAATCATATTTTTTATCCATAAATTTTATTACATTAATATTTAGAAAATACTCTATTAAAAGTTACAATGACAAAGATATCGACAATGATAACAATAAAATACAATGATAATAATAACTAGAATTCCAACAACAACGGTGCTTACATTGATGTTTAATTATAATAAAAGATAGTATGATACACTTGTTTACCATATTTCGTACTAATAGCTTATAAGAATAAATAATTTACATTATAATTTAGAAATACCCACTCTTAAAAGTATTTGATGCAGCCTGTTGACAAATGTTTTGGCCTTAACTATTAATCCGAGGTATTACTTTGTCCCACACCGGATGGTGTTGGAGACTTCCTCCAGTCAACACACTGTATATCTGGACATCCCCTTCGTACTGATATGTGTGATATAGTAAGCTGCGCCTCTTTCTACTTTCATTGGGCAGTCCTATTATGTATGGGCTAAAAAAATTCAATTGAAAAGTTGAATTTTGTAGCCCAACACGCCTTTTGTCACGCATTTGCATATGCGGGCGTCTTAATGACGTCTGGCGTTTAGGCCCGCCTAAGCGGCGCCTTTTTGGACCTTTTAGAACACTGGATGGTGGTACATAAATTGATCCGTAATCCGGTATAAATGATGTACCCTGTTTAACTAGAAAAATATAGCCATATGTATTGAGTTTAAACTTTGAGGCCGCAATAATGACCATAGTAACGGTATATGCAGTGACGTATCCAGTAAAATACACAAGACATGACGAATTTACCTTAGATTAGAGGGGGAATCACTAGAAAAATCAGACTAATTAGATTAAGAAAAAAAAATCATAAAATCATTTATAAATACCAATATACTTTCTCCGTTGTTAAATAAAAAGTAATCCCCCCCCCCCCCCCCCCCCCCATATAGGACTAAAACAAAGGTGCAATGCAAAAATAAGACTTGATATGTTTTCTTCTCTTAATAGGACCAATTTACTCCTACCGTTAAAAACATGAAAATTAGCATCTCAGGTTTGCCCTTGAACCCATTTACACATTCTCTCTCCCCTTTCCCACTCATAGATCCACGATTACTTCTCCACACCCCAAAGATATAACTGCATCCCATCTTCTCCCCATCCCATCTTCTTCGTGCATTGCAGCCACCGCCGACTCTCCCGTCTCAGGCCGTTGTCATCACTACCGACTTCGCCATGCGCTGACACAGGTTTCCTCTTCTTTTTCTACCCCTCTTCTTCTTCTCCTTCTCTTCTTCTTCTTCTTCGATCTCCTCCTCCTTCCCCTCCTCCTTCTCCTATTCCTCTATTTAAATGAGATTCATCACTGATTTTTCTAGTTTTCCTCATATTCTTATGTTTTCCTAGGTTTTGACACTGAGTTTGCCAATTTTAGGAATTTTGTTTTGTATTTTCTGACTTTGTGTTTCAGATTTCTTAATTTTTTGTTTTGACATTCGATTTGTGGATTTTTGGACTTCTATTTCAAATATCTGTTTCGTGATTTCTTGATTATAAAAGAAAACCAGTTTTCCAGATTTTTGGACTATGACATATGATTTTGCCAAGTTTATGGTATATTTTTGGATGATAATATACGATTTTGCCAAATTTATTGTTCTGTTATTTTTTTTTTGTTTTTTTTTTTGAAAATTTAGTTGTGGACTTCATATTTTGCCAAGGTTATGGTAGTTTTGTGTAAATCAGTGAAGATAAATATGCCAAATTTATGGCAGATCTGAAAATTTGTTCTCAAGGGAGATTTGTAAGTACTCTTCAAGGTCGAATCTGCCAACTTAATGGCAAATTTACTGCGGTGGTGGTGCTCGGAGGTGAAGTGGTAGCCCTGGATTGAACACTGGCGACAATGACGAGGATAGGATGGCGGCGGCGGAGGCGGATGGCGACGCCGTTTGGGCGGCGACGGATGGCAACGATGTGCCGACAAGGATGCGGCGGGGCCCAGCCAGAACGACGGTCAGCGGTGGAGGCAGTTGGCAGCGGCGGCGGCAATCAACGGCGTAGGCGAGGGTAGCGGCAGTCAGCGGCGGCGGGCGGCTCCGACTCTGGCATTCTACTGCTAGCTTTTTTACAATTTAGGGTTTCAACAGTTTTTTATTTTTCATTTTCAAAATAAAAAAAAAATTAAAACATGGTTATTTTTGTCCAACTAAGTTGAAATTGGTCCTATGAAACTTGGACTTCGTTTATAGTCCTATATGTGCAATTAACTTTGCCATTAGTCCTATTTGAGACATTAACTCTTAAATAAATGCAAATGTCAACATTTCACATTTGCCGATACACAACTTTGATCATTAATATATATAGTTCTCTATTAATTAAAAAAAATTAAAAATTAGATTTTGAAAATTTACAATGAGACAAATTTAACAATATTTTTTCAAAAATATATATTAATAAATAAAATGTAGTCAAAGTAGAATATGTGAATAGTGTAAAATTCAACTTGTTGCATTAATTTAATAACGGATCTAGTATTTTCTAGACAAAAACGTTATGATATCATGTTTAATTAAACTTCACTTTGTTAGAAATAATTTATCACATGACATCTGTAATTTGTGCAAAATTATGTCAATATATAAATGAATGAAATAAGGGAAGGATCAAACATGTACTTAGAATTAATTTAAATCGAAAATTCACAAATTTATTAAAAAAAATACTCCCTCCGTTTCTGAAACAAGTTCCACATTTGACTTCACACATATTAAGAAAATAAATTTGACTTTACTGTGGAGTGCACTGTTTGACACTGTTTGAACACTGTTTGGCACTGTTTGAACACTATTTGACACTGTTTCACACTGTTTTGATGTAGATAATTTGTCAAATAAGGAAATGTTTGAAAGTGGAACTTAATTTTGAATATGCCCGAAAAGGAAAGTTGGAACTTGTTTCAGAAACGGAAGGAGTAGTTTGTATTATGTACAAAATTCATTTCATATGTGAAACTACAACGGTACTATATTGATGTAGTTTAGATCTTTCCAACAAGAAAAAAAATTAAAAAGAATAATGTAAAACCACTTGGAATTTGTTTAAGGCTTCAAGGGCAAAAGTAACAAAAATTTAAAATACTCTACGCAAGGATTCGAACACATGACCATTTTGGAAGCACTTCTAATTTCTTCCGCTTCTAAGCAAGGATTCAAAGCATGTAGTTCTATTCCTCATACTATCTTATTTATTACTTTCTCCGTCCCGCTCATTTCTTCCAACTTTTCTTTTTGGACCGTCCCAATTAACAGAGGCGGCTTGAGAATTTTGGAGGCCCCAGACGAAAAATATTTACTATGTACAAATCACTTTTAAAATCAGATAAATTGAATAAAAATCGCCTTATGAAAAAAAGCATATTCAAAGTCCATGATATAATGTTTGTAATATTCAAAAGGATAAATTTTAAAATGCAAACTTATTCAAAACACAAGGCAAACTTGTACTTGTAAAAGTATTAAGAGACTTCAAGAACGAGACTCATAGAGAAAAGCTGAAGAGTCTTAGTTGATTCACTAACCAAGGACCCATATCGACGGTGGGCAATGAGACATATATACAGTAGCCGATTAGCGGTCTGTGTTGGACGTTGATGCGTGTTGAGATCGGATTTGATAGTTTTTTCCTAACTTTAAGGTGTCATAAGTCTCAATTTTAAGCTCAAGTCATATTTACCGGCCGTTGTTGGTTCGAGTTTTGGTATTTTTGGAGTCAAAATCAGGGAATTTGAGTCTGGCACCGGTGTTTGAGAAGCAATAGGGACGAGTTGAGAAGCATTTTAGAGTTGATTAGGAGCATTGGAGATCAGTGAGGTGTTAAAGACAAAGTTTTGAAGACAAAAGAGCTCTAGAATTGGCTACGGGAT